AATAGTGAATGCAAGCTTAGACGTTTTCATTCTCATGTGCTGACACACAAGATGTATCCCCTGGGGTCCTTCTCTGAATACAATTGAATTGAAGTATTGAATCAGTTCTAACAAAATTGTTCTGAAAAATCTAATTAGAGAAAACCTTGTACAGGTGAGAAGAAGAATCTGGAATCTTGGTTTGGATGTGATTTATTCCTGTGTTTGCATGTGCTGAACAGGATATCCCAAATATTATGTTAGATGCCATTTTGGAAAAGGTTTATGTTTTTTACCACATAAGTATAATTTATCCTTAGTCCTTGTGCAAGTTCTTTGCTAGTCTCACTGCTTTTTCAATGTTGAAGTGAACAGGAACATATCAAGGACTCATAAACCTTCAAGAATGAGTAGCTCATGGATAACCAGGTGACCCCAGAACTGGAGAGATGAGGCATTTGTGTGAAGTTTCACTACCACTAGAGAGGGGAGGAGAGAGAATTATTGAAGGAAAATATTTTCAGATAGTGCAAGCTTACCCTTCCTAATACACACGTTTTATTGCTTCTGTACATTTTAGTATAAAAGCTTGTGGTCTTTGTACGCAGTACTACGGAGAAAACCTAGAACAGCAAGCAGCATTTTCCAAGTGATGGTTGTGAGCCAACATTTGATACAATTTCTCTGAATGATTTATGCCACTCCTAGGTGGGGACACTTCACCAAGAAAATAAAATGGCAGAATTATGTCATTGGCACTGTCATTGACTAAAATTAATTGATGATGCAGTGCCTTTATTATGATGAAAGGGCGCAGTAAGGATACAGATCCTCAGAAAAAACAATGACCAATTTCTAGCTTTGCTTTTTTTTCATGTGTTTATACCATAGAAACTGATAGATTCTAAAAAGCATGGAAACATCGTTTTTATATATGGTTTGGGAATACAGCCCTTGTTAATTGATTAACACATAATAAGGAATTTTATATTTGGCTTCCTATAGACGAATAAAGTTATCAGGAAATTTGTTTTCTAGAAAATTTTTTGATGTTTCAGTCTCTTCGTATTATTTCTCCTTAATTATAATTTTAATTCTTGTTTGCTTCTTTTCTGAGTGCAGAACTGCAGCTGGTCGTCAAAGGTAGCTTGTCCAGCAGAAACACAAGTAACTTTCAGACATTTAGGTTATTAACTAGCTCTTAGTCAATATGCATAACTGATGCTTCAGAAAAGAGACACTAAGCTGAATAGTAGTACTGTTTCTTGTGAATAGTAGTAACTCCTTGTTTTGGCAGAAAATAATATAGTGGCACAGCAATTGAAGTGGGCAAAAGGAGGGAAACTGGTTATCACAATTAGCAGCAGCATGAATTTGTGCTTCTCTACACCATAGTTTTGAAGTAGTTTGTTGACCTTTTAAGTGAACCTAGACTGTATTTTGACACAAACTTTGAGGCAGGACAGAAGGCTTGTTATGTACTAAACCACTGAAAATCAGGCAATTCAAATAAAATGGCTACCTTGGCTATCTTGAATAGGGCCCAGAAATGGCAATCTAAAGATTATCTGGAAGGACATGGATGCATTGTTGGGTGCTTTTACTGTTGCTAAACAATGCTACTTACTTTCTTAACGCAAAGCAGCTCTCCAGAATGTTACCATACGAAATCATGATACATCTGATTATTCATGGTGTCAAGGGCTGGGGTTTTTTATCACTTGCTGTGGTTGTTGGCATAATGTTTGTTTGAGGGCGTTTTTGTGGGTTTTTGTTTGTTTGTCGGGTTTTGCGGTCTTTTTTTTTGTTTGGGTTTTTTTTCCTTTTTTAAAGTATCAGTTGTTTTCTGTTAGCTGGAAAGATTTGTTTGTTTTAATAATATTCCATCTTTCATAATCTGTGGTTTTACTAGTCCCCCAAATGTCCATGTTTTTATTAAATAGCTGTAGAACTTCTGTCACTTTAATTTCAGCAATGACTCTGAGTACTGACAGTGAATACCTCACTGGCTTTTGTGGTGAAAATGCAGTTCTTAAGTTATAGGTGTTACTTTAAAAGAGATAGCATGCTTTATGCTGACAAACATTGATAGTTTCATGAACTAACATCTCCTGGAGTTCCAGGAACATTTCAAAATGTGAAGTATTTGTTTGATTTAGAAGTTAAGGAGAAGTTTCTTCTTGTTTGTGGATGTATTTGCTCGCTTGCATTGATCCTTCCCAGATTTTTTTTGGAGTTTTGTGTTTACAGTCCCTAAATTATGTTGTTTCATTTTTTTGAAATGTTTTGCATTTAACAATTCTAGCTCAAGAATAATTCTAGTATTTTCTAGTGTCCTCATAAAAATAACAACATTTCAACTGTAACTATAAATATTTTCCCCGATATATTCCAGTCTGGCACTGCACATTTTCAAGTGTGATCCTCTTGAGCTGAAATTTTTCATAGTTAATTGCTATGTAATTATTATTTGATGTTGCAATATGAAAATAATCAGATTTTTTTTTTCTTCCTTGAGTTTAAGAGTAGACAGTATTTTTTCTCTGTTTAAAATCTTCCAGGTGCCTTTCTGCAAAGATAGACCAACACTATTGCAATCTTAGAAAAGAAATTTCCATATAGCTCTTGCTTTTTTCACAAGCCAAGGAAGATAGCCAAAGAAATACTATTTTTGTCATAACTGAATGACTGCATGAATTTTTAACATAATGCAGAGCAGTGTTTTCAAATGCTATTTTGTGGAACAGGACATTTTCTATACTTTCTAAATGAAATCTTCAGTTAGAAAGTTATCATTTTCTTTCTTTTCTCTCGTCTCCTCCTTGTTCCTAGAGGAAACAAGGGAAGGAATAGGATTCTCATCCAGTGGACTAGTCTGTGCTGCTTCTGTTCAGTGTAATGAAAGATGGCCAGCCTAGAAGACACTGTGTAAGCGTAATATCCCATGAAATGAAAATTACCCCGTGGAGGGGGCACACATGCGTTCCTCAAACTTTGATATAAAACTTTGCATTTCCTAATTTGTGCGTGTGCTTAAACTCATAATGCTAATCTTGTATTCTGGGAAGATTTTTCATTTTCTAATCATTTTAGTCTTCCTTTTTTTTCCCTCCAGTATTGAAATCTAATTTTTGTGTGTGAAGCAGGTGTGCAAAGTATGATTAAGTTAAATGGATTTATCCCTTTTAATAATGTAAAACTTAGTTTCAGGCAAACCAAGTCATCAGAATAGTTTTTAAAAAATACTGTGAACTTTGGTATCTATTTTTTTTAAAGCTCCTATGTACTGTAACATAACCTACTCCAAATAATTATCATATATTATAGTGGTTTCCATTAGTGACTGCTATAATTAAGGTTGCAAATCAGTTTCCATTATAATCCTTTGTTTTCACACAATGATAACTTGTTAAAACACTAACCTTTGGGACTAAAGTTTTCCATGGTGGTTCTGCTTATAGCTAAATTTGAGGGGAGGGAGGAGAAAAAGGAGTTTGAACTATCCTTATAAGCAAGTGCTTATCTGGTCATTTTGTGTACTAGGATCAAACTATATAGCAAGGAGGTAAATAGTTATTGTTTCCAGGGACTAGAAAAACCTAGAAGAAAGATTAAAGGACAAGCAGTGCAGAACTGCCTTGAATTTTCGTTGCACTTGTGTTTTTGACTAGCCTCACTGCTATTTTGTTTTGAAACATCTCTGTATAATGCTGCAAAAAGTATTAGTCTCTCTTTATTAACGTCTGCGTCCCACAACAAAACAGCACTGTGTCAATTTTACTGATAATCAGATGAAAATCGATTACAGAGGTGGAAAAGAGATATGATGGTCAGTTGCGGATTCATGATTCCATTTGTGAATCCCAGTCCTGAATCTGATGCTGGTTTTTGGGGTGAAAATCTTCCATAACAGTGAAGTGAGGGAGGCAATATAAGAAAACATTTACTGTGATTATTTGCCCGGTAGGAGCTTCTAAATGTCAATAACTACTGCACTGCTTTTTCCTGGAGAGAAAATAGCACGTTCCTGTATCATTGCAAATAACTGTGTATGTTAACCTTTTAAGGTGACCACTATGCAAAGCTTGTATAAGTACCCTATCTATAGTATTTTTAGTATGACATGACAATTTATTTTATCATATAAAGAAATCAAGTGTTAAGGCATAATGTAAGGGAGTGCTTGGGCAGGCAGAGTTGAAGGATAAGCTTTCAACTCTAACATTCATTTCCTGTGCTTGTTTTATCATCCCTAACATTACATTAGTATCATTTCTTTGCATAGAATTCATTTTAAGAAATGGTGATTGGTTCTTCCCCTCAGCCCTCTGGGAGAGTGTTTTAATTAGTTTCTTGAGATATATGATAACAAACTGAAGTACAGGTACTAAAGAAAAAAACTACTATTTTGTTATGTTCAGAAATTGCTCCTCCACTAGTCTGTCTGCAAACTGTTGCTACTGTAAACATCTTTTTTATAACATGTTGTGAAATACTACAAAGGTTGATTTACAGATAAAATAAAATAAATCATAACAGAAAAAAGCATGTGCCTTCCAAAAGATCAGTTTCTGGGAGACCTCATTGTCTGCAGAGGGTCCTGTGAGTCAATGAAATGTCTTGCACATGGGAAGGTTTCTACATCTGGATTCTTTTTACCAGTTGAGGTCTTTGATCTGAAAATGTTACAACTCTCCTATGCCCTGTGATTTGTCTGGCAAGATGAGTTATTTACAAATGCAATTGCTCTTCTGACAACTCAATTTTGAGTGTGTAAGTGCTGAGGTCCCCATCTGTAATCCACAAGGACTGCTGGTAGTCCTTTTACTGGTTTCAGTGGACTTTCATTCTGATATTTGGACTTTGAAGCACCCCAGGTCGATTGGTTAAAAAAAAGACTATAAACAATTATAATTTAAAGATTTAAGGTGCTGTGTGTCTGAAATAATTAGACAGTGTTTCAAATGCTTGTGAATTTAAATAAGTTTCTGATCTTTGTGTCTTTTCTTTTATTCCTCCAGTGGCCGATGAAAGCAAAGTTGGTTTGTTGGCTGGACACAAATCAGGTAAGCTCTTTTCCTGTTTTGGAGGAAATGTCAGCAACTTGAAAGTAGTATGGGCAGTAAATGAAATCAGGTTACAGAAACTTCGGTGACTAAGAAAGCTGCAAATTAAGGCATTACTTTGTAGACACTGACTCCAGATTGTACAATGATGAATTAGGGATTGTTCTTTTCAAGGCAGTGTATGTAGCAGTCATTTGCAGGAAGAGCTGTAACTTTTTTTTTTTTTTAGTGCTGGTGCTATTAACTGAATCACAGAATCACAGAATCATCACTGAAGATGATGGCCTTTCAAATAAGGGCAAGTGCAACATGTCTTGTGGATTGTGGAAACTTAAACAATATACGTTTTGAAAAATACAAATATTTCTTGCTTTTTCTCCTTGCTCAGAGTTCCACTTCCATTACAAGGAGTATTGAAGATATCACTAAAAAAATTTCTACATATTAAAAAAAAAAAAAAAAAGAATGTCAGAGCTTTTCCTTTCATTGTGCTTGTGCAGTAGAAATAATTTATTTTTTCTTAAACTTTTCAGGCCTTAGTAAGAAAAAAACCCAAGTCCATACTGCTGTCGTTACTGTACTAATAAGTTCCACAAACCACACCTTGGTACTGTACAACTTGCAGTCCTTGTATTATAAGAACTTTCAAGGAAATGTCACATAAGATGGTAATTTTTCACAAGCTGACATAAAAAAATCTTGAACTTTCTAGGAAACTCAAGTTATTCAACAGTCTCTTCTGATGTTAGAAAACCCTAAAGTTTCAGACTGCCCCTTTGTAGCATGATTGCACATTGCCTTTTTCCACCCCTTTGATAGAACTAAAAAGCTGAGGTCCTGTAAAGGAAGGTCAACTGTGAGATTCCTGATTGTTTGTGGTATTCCTTCTCTGTGCAACTGGCTGTTTTTCTTTAGTTCTCTGGCATGGACTTTCCTTATCTGAAGACCTTTTCCTGAACTTAGTAGACAAATTATTTTTAAATTTTTCTGGCATCTTTCCTAAATCTGTGAACTTCTTGAATTCTCTTTCTGAATCAAGGGGTAGTTCATATGTCTTGTAACATTATCACTCCTGGCGAGAAAAAAATTCTTTCAACTTTTTGTTTTGGGAATGTGAAGGCTTCAAAGAAATGATCTTGTCAACTTGAAGAAGGTAGGGGTGTTGCCCTTGAGATTTTTCCTGTGCCTAAAAATTACTACAAGCATTGCAACATCATGCAGTTTTCCAAAGATCAGTGGAATTCACTGCCATCAAAGAATATTGTAAGGAAACCTGGTGAGGTCATAACTCTTTTGGCAATCTGTTGTTATAGATACATTAAGCTTTATAGTAACACTTTAAGCAGCATTTGATCTTTCTTCTGCACACTTCTCCAGATTCTTGAAAACAGTGGCTCTGAAAATTTTTCTGTTTTAAGACACCTACAAATTTTATATGAAAATGTAGACCCATGGTTATTGAACTTTGGCTTGTTTGCTTTACTTACCCTTCATAGGCTTCTTACATGTACCTAAGAGCTTTTTCCCTAGGCTAAAATCAGGGGTCAACAGATCACCTAAGGAATAGATATAAAGATCCTACAGGTTGTTTCTTTTTTCCCCCTTCAGAATAAAAGGAGCTAGCTCACTTCTGAGAAGGTTGGAGTGTAAATGATTTTTCATGGTTCTGTCCACTTTGAATACTGTTCAGTTACTGTTGAAAAACGTTTCTCTATGTTCCATTTACTAACTCTTCATAAAGGGAGATTAAGCAGCAGGTTCAGTTTTCTCATTGTACCATTCAAATATTTATTTTAAAGGCCTGTTCAAGAATATAGCATTATTTTTCTTTGGTCTCTTTTTACTGGATGCTTTTTGGAATTATATATCTTACACACATCTTGCTGGCATTCAGTCACATCACAGAACACTTGTTTTAACATTGTTGTTCATTGTGCTGCCTTCCTATAGGTACCTTTTTAAGAACGTGCTAAGGGAGACATTGCAGCTTCTTGTGCTTGGAGCAAAACACTTATTTTGTCATTACAGAATGAAGAGTTTCCAACCTATTCTAGACATCAAGAAATTAAACATATTTCTCTACAGAATTAATTATCGCCTACTAACAATCAATGCAATTATCCCTTCTCTCCTTCAACATGACTTGTTCTATGAAATACACAGTTGAGTAATTCTCTCTAGGGAAATATCCTTTCTATTCCTTCTGGGGCAGTGGCTCTTCAAGCATTTAGTCTCAGCTTTTGGTATAGCTACTGTATCCCTCACGTATTACGTGTTACTGAGCAGCAGCAGGAGTTGGTAGCGTATTCAATTTAAAAAGCACTATCACAGTTCTGCAGAAGACCAAGACATAAGAAGGATCTGTAGCTGTAGCCCCATCTTTCTGTCTTTTTATATATTGCACCCACAAACAGCAGTTCCATTTTTATTTTCTTAAAAAAGTAGATTTGATTTTTAGAAGCATGTCTGGACACATTATGAGCTTGTAAGCATGTTCTGTGTGGAGATGGCTGGAGAGTTGTTCCTGTATTTCACACTTGTAGACATGCATCTGTGAATTCTGGTTCTCATAGCTGGTCTCTCCTTCATCCTGCTGGATGAAAGACTCCTACAGTGCTTGCAGGTGTTCGTAGTGTTGCAAATGTTTTCCAGAATACCATTGGCAAAAGCATTGGAGTGCCGTATTGATGCAGCGTACTCAGCACTTTCAGGAAAAGACCAGAGTTCAGAGTGTGAGTAAGGCATCCTCTCTGAATCCTCTAAGGAGGATTTTGTCCTCTATAAGCTTGCTGTGTGCTCAGCAATGGTGTGTCCCCATTCCCTGAACTCAATTCCAACCATGAGAATGAGAAGCAGACAAGTGGTGCCTCTTATCATAAAGCAGAGAGGATCCCTGAAAATTCACAAAGTTGAAAAATCAGCAAACTTTACCTCAGTTTTTCATGAACTCTTAGCTTTTTAGAAAAGTTATTCCTGGAGAGCTAGGAGGATACCCTTCATAAGGAAGGGCAAGACTGTTATACATCAAATATAATCTGATTTAAATGAAATACTGAAATGGAGTACTGAATTCTTTGCAGCTATTTTTATTTTTTCTTAAATTCTTTTTTTTTGTGTTCTGATTTACTGCTTGGAACACTTTTAGTATGTATTAACTGTCTGCTGAGGTCTCTGCTGACACAGCTCTTTCAGATGATGCAGTGCTGGAGAAAAGCTGATGAGTCTTTTTTTATGAGCTCTGACATATTAATTAGCAAAATGGGCAAAAAAGCTTTCCTATTTTTATTTTAATGTCACTAGACCATGCTTTTGGCTGGGGTTATGTTTTGAGACAGTTCTGAGACAAGATGAGTTGAAGATCTTTCTTGCTGGCTGCTATGTGAGGAACATGTGACTGGGCTATGGATTAGTACTGGCAAGACTGAATGGTACAGGGGTAGCTCTGTTACCAAGCTGAATTTGAATTAATGTTATAAGGCAAGAGATAGGGTTAGGACCTGAGTAGGAAAAGGCCCATTGGAATAGTTTGAAGGATACTTCTGGTCAAGTTATACCCCTCACTGTTAATTTTGCTGACAGTGTGGTTACCAGTTTGCTGTTCAGCCTATGAGTAGGATTAGTGTTCTGGGAAAGAAGGCTTGAAGAGGTAGGTGTACAGCTAAATCCTTCAGGGTCAGGGCTTTGATGAGATCTGTGCTGAGACGTCTGGTAGACCTCCTGTCTGTACTGTTTTGTGTATAGTTAAGTGAGTTGTGGTTAAACTGGGGTTCAGATTGGGACTGGAGTTAGTTTGGAATAAGGTCGGTTAAAGGTCTTGGTGAATTTCTGCATCCTTTAATGCCAGGATATATTCTGCATTAAATAAATGTTACTGAGGTTTTGTTAAGGCTAGGATGAGGATTAAGATTATGGTTTAAGATGCAGGAGTGATTGAAAAGTTGGATTTTTTGGTAGATTTTATATGACCCACTGGAATAGAGTATGGAAAGTGCAACAGATTAAGCTTCCTTGTTACCTTCAGGAAAGGCTCTCCAACCTATTGCAAAAGCTATGGTTGCATTCATAGGCGAAATAAGTCTATGAGATTCTAAGGTTGCATCTATACAAGTGTAAGATTAATATCCCCTTTGGCTTTGAAGTTGTGTGGCTCAGGATGATCCCCATCTGTGATCTGAACCTCTGTTGTAAAATGGCTGCAGGTTGTCTCTGAAAGCTGTGCCTGGTATCTCCTAGCTCTTGAACAGTGTCTAGGAAGTGTTGTGAGAGCAGAAGAGCTGTTGTAATGCTTTTATAGTGTAGATTATTACATTCTAGTAAACTGAGGTGTGTCTAGGCACTGCTAAATTTGCAAATATAAAAATAACCTATGATTTTTAGGAACTCCGGGTTAGTTTTTTGCAGGGACAAAGTAGGATCTGGTGCAGGCAGAATCCGGTGTGTTAGTTTGTTCTGGTAAAAGTGTAAATAATGGCTAGGTTAAGCCTATTGCTGCAATTTGAGTTCAGACTTGGAAGGGCAGATAAAACCAGAGAACATTTTTTTTTCCTAACTGGAGGAATCATGCAAAGATTGATCTATTGGAACAGCAGCAAAATCCAGTGGTTTACGCATGCTTATATAGCACAAAAGACTTTCGTTTAATGAAGGATTTGGGGAAGGGGGGTTCAATAGTGGGGCTAGAAAGGACCACAGAAAGCTTAGTGGATGCTGCTAGGCTTGTTTGAAAATGAGACTGGTGCCACTGTAGCAAGTTTAGCTTCTGTTTTCCTTTTGATTCGCAGGTAGCACAATTATGTCGAAGAGGTGTGTAGGTAAGTAGTGTTCTCCTCGCCTCATGCCAGATCTCATAATTTTATTAAACAAGCCTTCTGGCTGCTGTAGATGTCGTTAAAGCTGAGCTTTTCAAAGGGGGCATTGGGTTTAGGACCGAGTTCATAAGGATTTATATAGTAACTAGATCTGCAGTCAAAAAGACTCATGTAAATGACTGAGCTGCCTGG